ATTGTCTTACTTTTTCATTACATAATTGAATTGTTCCAAATGTGGAGCAGAATCTAGCTATTGAGCTTATTAGGATTATCTAGAATAAAATTCTTCCAGTTAAGTCAAGCATGATGAGACTTGTTAACCTTGTAAAATTCATGTTATTTCAGCACTTTTTCCCTTAGTTATCATATTTTTTGGTAAATTAATGCATATTTGGAAGTATTTAGGATAGGAAAATGTGCATAGTTGATACTTGGGCAAAAGTTGTGGATTTTGATTAATTGTAAATATTTTGCCCCTATGTCATCAACTTGGCTTTAATAGTTTGTCTTGCTTTGTTAAGTGATTGAAGCTTACCAATGGAGCCATTTGAATCAAATATTGATCTCATGAAATTGGAAAGATGCATAGGAAGCCATGACACATTGAAAAAATCAAGAAAAAAGGAGATGCAAAACAGAACATCGTTGGCCTTAGCCAATAGAATCTCTTGGCCTCAGCCAACAGTATTCCAAAGAGTAATTGGCTGCAGCTAAGGAAAATCTTGGCTGCAATCAAGATCAAGACAGAAAGGAATTGGCTGTAGCCAAGAGAAATCTTAGCTGCAGCCAACGCAGAATTACTGATACTCTGTGTTTTGAAGACAACATGTGTTTTATGGCTCTATATGTTATAAAATTTGAAGGAATGCATCGTTTTCATGATTCTTCACCTTTGAAGGCTAATTTTGGGAGGTTGCTCTGCTAAGATTTGAGATATTTGGAGCTATGGAAGTCAAGATTTGAAGATTTGAAGAGATTCAAGCCCGTTTTCTTTGGTTTTGCTGTCTCTTTCCTCTTTCCTCTTCATTTTTCTGATATGGCTGTAGTTATTCATTGTAGTTATGATTGTTTTCTGAACATAAGTAGCTAAGCTTCTATTCTAGGATTATTTTGAACCCTTGTATGGACTAAGTATTCATCTCCCTTTTGTATTTGTGGTTAATGATATGATTATGTTGATTTTACTCTATGCTTAATACTTCTTGTTGATTGGCCATCAATGAGATTGTTGGGTTCCCTTGATTGATGCTTGAGAAGGCTAGATTGAGTGTAGAACTTGGGTAAAATTGTGTGAGAACTTGAAGTTTGCAAGTTGAATGGATGGTTTTGTTAATGAGATAGAGATATACTCATTAACCTCACATAGTCATGTAAGGTTTGCAATGAAAATTGGGGTTTAATTAATAAATTGAGAGACTAATGAATTAATTGAACTAAACACCTCTTTGGAGACTTGAGAGAGCACTTGTAGGTAATTTAGTGTCCTTGGCTAGCTTAATCTATAATTAAGAAGCAAATATGATGGAGATTTCATTGAGTAGTTTTGAAATACAAGGGGGATAAATAATCTTGTGACCCATTTTGTCCTTGGAGTTGAAGAATCACTTTTTTCTTTTTCTTTTTATCAATTTCTAGTTTTGAAAATAGTTTTCCTTCACTCTTGATATACTTATGTAACTCAAATTAGACAAAAGTGTGATAATAAATACTTGAACAGGTTTTGTAACCAAATCCTCATGGAAATGATACTCTACTCATCACTTTATTACTTGTGACAACCCGTGCACTTGTGGTGCGAACAAGACTCATAAGAGGACCTTCACAATTCATATTCAATGCAGCTGAAGTCGGAAATTTTGAGCTTCTAGTAGGGGTTTTGAGCACCTACCTGATTTGATGACAGAAAAGGATAGCAGAAACTGAAGTATAATTCACATTGGTGTTTTGCATCGTCATGCTAGTATCTTCAATCTCATACTTGAAATAGGCCCGTCATGGACTTCATAGTTTCTTTCATGGATAGTATTAATAAATGCAATCTATTGCATTTTACTGCAAAATTAGTGCGACAAAACCAACTTGACTTGTTCTCAAGAGCAGCTTTTCAGATGATGGTTGAGCTATTATGGTTTGAGGTATCTTCTCCTTATGGTCTGTGTATAAAGTTCAAGCTTCTTTTACTTTGTATCAATGGCCTAAATAATTCATGTTTTGATGTGGCAGGAAGTGAAGAAGATAATGCAACCATCATTCACAGAGATGAAAAACTTTGAAGGCCTAACTCCTGGCAAATTATTCACCAAATAACACAGAACTGCCAAAAGAAGCAGAGTCTTAGATGACGGGAACTGCAAAGTCTTTCATGGCTATTTCAACATTGATTGTTGCAGGAGTATTATCTGCTGTATTCACCATTCGTGGTGCGAACAACAATGACACAGGAGATCCTAACTATTTGGAGAAACTACCATTTTAGATATTTGCTATGTCAATTGCATCTGCATTTATTTCATCTCAACCTTCATCCTAGTCTTCTTATCCATCTTCATCTCATGTCATGCAGAACAAGGCCTTCTCAAGTCACTGCCATTGAAGCTAATATCAGGACTAATAGCATTGTTCATCTCCGTCGTCAGCATGACCGTAGCTTTTAGTAGTGCCTTCTTTGTAACATATTATCATGGTCTAAAGTGGGTCCCTTGGCTAATTTCAATTCTTGCATTTGTTCCAGTACCTTTGTTTTTGTTCCTGTGATTCCCTCTTTTGCTTAGATATACTCTACACCAAATACTTCTGTAGGCCTGTATTCCGACCAAATAAACGTATGCTTCACTAGACCCTTTAATTTCTGTGTATGAATAGGGTAAGTTTAGTTTGGTCAAAATGTATTGTGTTTAAGTGCAATGGGGTGTACACATGGCCAAATTAAAGGAAAATGCAATGCTATGTTAAGATATGTATTTCATTGATTTTTCCCTAGTCTTGAATTTGATTAACGATTGAATTATTCTGTTAAAAAGGCAAGCTAGGGGTGTGCAAGGAGAAATCCTTTTTTTTTTTTTTTTGGTGATAGAAATCCATTAAATTTAGACTAACTAGTGATAGGAAGAAAAAAAAAGCCTCACAAAACGTGTTAAAATAATTTTTAAATAAGTTATGGTAAGGAACAAAAGGCAGAGATTAATATATTGTACTCCCTCCGGTCCTTATTTTAAGTTTGAAATAAATAATTCACAGGTAACAAGCAATTAGTTAAGTTTAGTTAAAAATAATAAATACGTTAGAAATAGACTTTTATTTTTAATATGCCTTTATAATAAATGAGAAAAATGATGAAATGCAATATGTGAAAAAATGTGATAAGAGAAAAATAATTAAGAGCAACAATAAAAAAAATGCATTCAATATTAAGACAAACTTAAATTGAAGCTTATAAGTAGAACTATAAGGAATAATTATTAAGTGAACAACAGTGAACGAAGCGCCAAACATTTCAAAGAGGCCACGAACTGAACATACGCGTTTAATTAATAAGCCGCGTTGGGCCATGCAGGTTGCGTCGAATTAGCAATTTGCTGAGAAACTTCTCGCACTATTTAATCCCTACATTAACATATTTAGAAACAAGAAATATTCCTATTGATTGCATGATAAGGGGGTTTTAATTAATGCATAGTTTCAATAGATATGATTAATAAGAATATTTTAGAAAAACTAACATATATAATATATCTATTATAAATAACTAATTTTCTCAATATTTGTAAATTAATTATCTCAAGTATTAAATACAAGGAATAGTAACTTATTTGGCACGAAGGAAGGTTTATTACGGGACCCACACAATCTATAAAGACGTGTATCTATGTAAGATAAATTCATAATCCAAATGAATTATTAAAAGACAAATGCAATCTCGTGTTTCAAAATTATAACTATACTGGTTAATTAGCGGCCCCGGCTGCACAATATGAATTTAGTCAAACAACTGATATTTTAATGATCTTCCAGTTAAACTATATGTTGACCTTTTGTTGTTTGTGAATTGTGACTATAGCTAGCTAGGACAGCCTGGCCGCAGCTAGCCAAGCATCTTCCATATATGGCAACATTATCTTAGGATAACGAAGGAATTTTATCAAATTAAGAGAAAATTATTAGCACTCCTTTCTTTAGTGTAAGAATTATTTACTCCCTTCAATCCATAATTCAAGTCACTTAGCTTCTAGCAAGAATAGCTCGATTCAAAATATAAGTCATTTAGAGAATAATCAATACTTCCTTGCCAATTATGTCCCCTCTGTTAATGTTTAAATACAACTTCTTATATTTTTCTTTCCCATTCACAACCTCATTTAATATTAGCAAAGGTGAAAAAAGTTTTCCACTTTGAGATTAGATTGAATGAGTTAACTACATACGTATTATTTTTTAATTCTGATGAATTAGTTAAAATGACTTATATTGGGGACAAAAAAAAGTAACTAATTTGACAAGGTTAAAAAAATTAAATAAACAAATTACCTAATTCTATCAAACTTTTTCCTTTCATTTTTCAACTCCTATAGTTTGCAAGCCAAAAACAGAAAGTCTGAAGCGAGACACGTGGGGGGTTGGTCACATATCACCGACACGGCTTTAACGCTCTCTAGTTGAAGCGGTCGCCTGCTTCCTCCCCAATAAACTTACGTACATTAGTTCGAAACAGCACTTTCTCTCTAAATTACTACAATTCTTCATTTATTACTCATTCAACAATAATCTCTTACATACCTTCCTTCCATGTTAAGCCACGCTAAGCTATATGTGTATATATATCTACGTTCATTCCTCCTCAAGCTTCATTCAAGCAAACCCTAGCTAGCTATCTGTCTCTCGCTATGTCATTTCTCTTCTACGCTTCATTCACAGAACACCCTCGATATCTCTCTCATTGTTCCTCATTCATCGATCATCATCAATAATCTTTCCTACCTGTGTGTCTCTATCTATATATCTGCTTCATCTTCAAGCTTCATTATTATTATTATTCACAGCAAACCCTATCTGGTCTATACCTCTGCTTAACCTGTCGCGGAAGAAGAAGAAGAAGAAGCGCGCAGAATGAGTTCTTCAAGCATCAACATCCAGAGCATTTTGTCCCCTCCGCCTCCTCGTACTCACGGCTCTCACATCAGACCAGGCACTCGCATTCCAAACCCCAAGGATCATTTTTCCAAGAGTCGATGATGACTCATTTCATAATTCCATATTTTCTCAGGTTAATATAATTAATCTTCTATATATACACACACACATCCCCCTTCTGAATTACTTACTAGAAATCAATTTAGGTGAGGTTCTTTATGAGGAGAAGCGCTTCTTGTTATAACCCTTGGATTTCATTTCCATGCAGGTCAATCTTGCAGATGAAGCTAACGCCATTATATTGATTATGCAATTTAAGTAGCTGTTTATATATATGCCTTTGTGTGTGTGTAGGATACATCCATATGATTGTATTATTTAATATTCGTTATTTGTTCCTTTTTATGTCTATATGTTTGATTTGATTATTTGGTGTGTACCACAAACATTGGAGTTTAATGATGTTCATTTGAAAGCTGCTTAATCCGTAAATCTGTTTACTTGTACTTTCCGTCTGCTTCTTGTGATCATTGGGAATTAAATAAGACAGTTCCGATCCCTTCATGCAAATCGTCGGCGCTCAAAAGGTCAAAACACCCAACGTTAAGGACGCATTCCATCTGTACTCCTCTTTTATTTATTCAGCGCACTATATATGAAATTATATCTCTCTTTTCAACTTCTAATGATGCGTACAATATATAAATTAATTAGTTCATTTAATATTAATTTGAAGATCTAACGGAATCATTCCCCCACTTACCATTTTTAGCTTCTACAAAACTAAATAAATTGTTTGTCATAATTTAAAACCTTTTTCTGGCCTGAATCTCTGCTATACGTTTTGGGCCCGTTTGGAATGATCGAACCATATTTTTAACAATAAAATTGTCGTTACGTTTAACTAACCATGGTTTTCATCACCCTGATTAAAATGTAATTTAGTCACGATTTTACCACTGTGTATTTTGTTATACACTGCTCATTTGCAGTTTATAAAAGAAAATTTTGGCAAAAAATTTGAAAAAAAAATTGTTACACATCTATGTGTGCTGGTTATGTAGTTTTGTAACAAAAATAATTGGGGGATTGTATATTCCGTTAGATCTTCAAATATTAAATCGACAATTTCGCAGTGTGCATATTGTAAAAACAAATAGCCCATCATTTTAAAAATAAATTAATTAATTAAAATTAGAGGAGTGATGTTTCTTTTTTTCACCCCTGACGAAAAGGACAATTATTATGAGACGCGAAAAAGATCCAATAAAAACAACTTTAATGGGGAAAGGGCCAGACATGATATAACAAAAGGCAAACAACAAGTACAAACCCCATTTTTGGAAGTAGATATAGACAAAAAGAATGAATGAAACGTAGACACATGAAAAGCGAACTGATCAAGAAATGGAACAAAGAATAAATCAAAGAGCACGATTAAATTTGTCCTAGCTATATATATGCAAACTCCACTTCCGTTTTCTTCCTCTATCATCGAAACCACTTGACTCTCCATTATGAAAGACGCTTGCTTGCTCCACAATCTGCTTGAAGACGAGAACCAAATTATGATCCAATATAGAAGGAAACAAACGGGGGAAATGTTAAAAAGAGAATCCAATCCCGAAAGACTAGTTTATTAATCGTCTGGGAGAGAGACGCCTCTTGCTCTGATGCAGGATCGTAACATTATCAGTGTATATATGGAAGATGAAGGTAGCTGATGGATGGAGAACGAAGATACCAATGAGAAGAAATTAAGTGTTTGATCTGGAAACGATTTTGTGGGCAGTGGGAATACGAGTCCCAGCTGAGATTGAGAAGGGGGCCGTTTTGCGTAGGAAAAAAACATTCTGAGGGTTTGTTTTCCGATAATCCATTTTGCGTCGATCTGTAGGGTTAAAGCCTGAATGAAAAATATGAGGGAAATTGGAATGATCAGCGGCGTTCGATAAGCCACGAAGCCGGCGAGAAATTGAAGAGACGCGTATAATTAATTAATTAATAAGCCGTGTTGCGCCATAGAGGAGAATTTCCAGGAACGCAGAGTGTGAAGCCCTCTAATTTAGTAAAACCGACCAAGCGTCTATATGTGTGTAAACAAGAGATTACGAAGAAGAAGAAGAATGAACTAAGAGATTTGTGTTGGATTAGTAATTCACAGAGAAAGTTCTGAGAGATTGGGATGCCAAACGTTTTGCTGCATCACGGATAATCTGGGCGCCTGCAAATCTTTGCGTGCGTGTACGATTTTATCCCTACTCACCTCCATAACCTTTGCTCGTTTATATCCTTGACCTCGCCTCTTCCGATTAGATGGATTGCTTCGTGTGGGCCCCCATACCATTCGTCTACCATGTATAAACTTCAGTTTAATAATTCACTAGGTCTCTAAAAAATACTCCTCCGGTCCTAATTATAAGACCCAATTGACTTATTTGAGGAGATTAAGGAAGTAAGTTAAATTGGTTATTTATAATAAATAAGTGTTGTCATTCCTAAAATATCCTTGCTAATTAAGTATATTGGCTAAAACTATCATTATTAAAAGGATTATCTTGGAAAAAAATGCATAAATATAAGAGACAAAATGGATTGGGTCTTATAATTAGGACCAAATAAAAAGTCAAATTGGGTCTTATAATAAGGACCGGAGGAGTATTTATTTAAGTTGCAAATATTAATAGAGATAGTTTTCTGTGGTTGATTAGATTAGTGGTTAATTTAACTGATTTGTGAAATTCTACCTCTAGTTCTTAATATAAAAATTTGTTTGACTTCTATTTTGATGCTAAATATAAGATCTCAATCCACTTTATTTCTCATATTTATCCGTTTTTCTTTAAAATAATCTTTATGATAATGCTAGTTGCAGCTAATTAGTAAGGGTATTTTAAAAAATACAATATCTATTTATTACAAATAATTAATTTAATTAATTTTTTAATCCACTAAAATTAATTAATTAGCTCTAGGCAGGAGGTAGCATAAAAGAGGGAAATTTGAAATGAAACACGTCATCCGTTAAGTATTTGTGTCCACATTATATTACAGCTCATGATGATGTAATTAACTACTCCATATTTGAGGAGGTCTCTCGTCAAACTAACTGAAATCGGACGTCGGCAAACATTTCCGCCCACGGGAGGGAGGTTTGTTCACACCCTACTACGACGTTCCTTGAAGTTATCGCCCCTCCGTGGCCCCAAACAAACTGAATAAACGACTTGACCGCCAGCTCACGACCATCGCCCCTATATCTCGCCGACACGGCTTTTACGCTCTCTGTTCAAGCGCTCGCCTGCTTCCTCCCGAAACTCGCGTACGTATTAGTTCGACACAATAGAACTTCCTGGTAAATTACTAATTCATTTATTAACTCAACAATCATCTCTTGGCTAGCTTTGCTTCCTTCCATGTTAAGCCTCCTTAAGCTCTATATATATCCACTTTCATTCCTCCTGAAACTTCATTCACAACAAACCCTCTCTCTCATCAATCATCTTTCTGCTGATTCTCCTCTAGAAGAGAAGAACCTTCATTCACAGCGCACCCTAGCTATCTCTACTCTCATTCCTCATTTGTCACCATCATTTATCTTTCCTACCTGTGTCTCTGTGCGTGTGTCTCTTTCTCTATACATACACATCTTCTCCATCTTCAAGCTTCATTATTATTCGCCGCAAACCCTATCTGATCTATCACTCTGACCAATATATAATCTGTGGAATAAGAAGCAGCATGAGTTCTTCAAGCATCAACATCCAGAGCGCTCTTTGCCCTGCGCCTCCTCGGACTCAGGGTTCTAACACCAGACCAGCCACTCGCATCCCAAACACCAAGGATCAATTTTCCAAGAGTGGATGATGACGCACTTCACAATTCCATTTCTCAGGTTAATACACACACCCACACACATATTCACTCGTTTTTCTTGTCACATCTTCTTTCATGCTGGCTGGGGCAATGTTTTTGCGGGTCTATTTCCATCATAACAGAAGCACTTAATGTTATAACCCTTGGGTTTCATTTGCGTTTTTGCAGATTAATGTTGCGGATGAAGCGTACGCCAGTGATTATGGAGTTAAGTGGGTCGACGTAGAGGGAGAATCGAAGTAGTTGCATATATATGCAGGGCACATCGCTATATGTTTGATTATATATTCTTTATTCGTTCGTTTTTATGTCTATGTTTGATTTGTTTATTTGTTATGTCTAGAAGAAACAATGGAGTTAGTTAATCATATTCGTTTGGCAGCTGCTTCATTCGTAAATCTGTTATTCCTTGTACTTTTTGTAACCATTTGAATAAAATAAGGCAGTTGAGAGTCTATCAAATCTGGCCTTTATGCACATAGCCGCACTCAAAAAGTCGAAAACAGACGCCGCATTCGATATGTCTCCTCTTTTAAAACTATATCTCTGTTTTCAACTTCTTACGATACTTACAGCGTAAACTAGTCTATTTATTGTTAATTTGAAGATCTAACGGAATAATTCCCCCACTTACTATTGTTATAACTTCCACAAAACTAAATAAATCGAAGGGCACAATTAAAAACTTGTTTTTCGCTTGAGCCTCAATCAAAAACTTCATTACAGTGAGATCAGATGGTAAAGGGTTAGGGCGTGGGTACGGACGGAGTCAGAATTAAAGAATGAGAGGAGCCCAGAATTGTATATGTGAGTTTCTGGCATACCTGGAATGTATGTGAGTATTTTCAATGTCCGCACAGAATCCGATCACATAGATGGAGTCATATTTTGTTATACAGCAACTACACCTTTGAAGAGAGAATGAGAGAATAGGTAGAGAGGAGAGTGCAGAGGGTTCTTCTGTGTTGTGTGTTTTCACCCCACGTACGCCTAATTCTCTTATTCAGTTTTTTTCTTGAAAAACTGAACATAAACTGTAAAATCATTCCCTCCAAAAAAGACAAAAAGTGTTTTTTTTTTTACAGATAGCAACCCTTAATTTTTAGTTTGTTATATTTTAGATCTCAAACCTTATGGGCTTGGGCCTTATCCACCAAGGGTGGATCAGGCTAAGTCCAACAACATATAATGTTATCAGTTTTATAAAATAAGGCTTTCAAATTCTATCAGTTGAAGAGAGTGTGAGAGAAGAAGAAAATTAATCTAGTTATATGAGAGGCGTGCGTATCATATATTGAGGATTGATATCCGTTTTTCAAATTCCTTATGCTTTTATATATTATTATTTGATTTCTTCCAGCAGAACAAACTCGTCGGTTACTTTTTTAACCTTAGATATTTAACTGAACCCATTTTTGAATTTACCCGAAAGAAGAAAAAGATCATTTCTGACTGATCATGTTGTGTTGCAATATGTTTGTGAGAAGGCTAAAATGTGACTCTTTTTCTGGATGAGAAATGGAGGCTTCAAAGTGCATAAACGATAAAGAAATTTTCTTAAAAATGAAATTCATTCTACGTACAGTGCCTAACTTTATCTGACTCCAA